CGATATATTGATCAACTCATGAAAACCACGATAATCGCATCAATGTTGCATGTTGATAATGAATCTTTCTCAGATTTTTCGAGACCAAATGCGAGAAGAAGAAAAATAAAAAACAAGGAAAACGCACGCGATTCAAGGAAGAATGTCCATTAGCTTGAACTGCCCCGGATCCATAATGCGCAGACTGCAACACCCCGTAGCCTGTTGAACCGCTGTGTACACTACCATGCCCTGAACATCTGCTGCCGGCTCTGGATCCCAATCCATCATACGCATTCTGTGGAGCAATAAGAACCGAGTACGATACAATACTGTATTTCAATTAAATCTTCGAGAAAAGTACGATCGCGACAAAAACTTCCAATATTAGTTTCAATTACAGTCGAACCTTGATAATTCCAAACTTTCCACCTCAAATACGTCAAAATTTCTTTGTCCAGTCTTGTCTGAATTCCGTTAGAAACAATGCATTAAAAACCTTCCCTAAGTATTTCCTCGTCAAACCTCCATAACTCAAATTTCCTGGAGGCCTTTCGTCTACTATTTTATTCACACAAGAGAGAGAAGCACCAAAAATGAAATTTGACGCTTTTTGAAAGAAAGTGAAAGATTAATTGGGCAAATTAACTCTTGCCTCTAATTTCAGCTTCCTGTCAACTCATTTGAAAATCAATTTGTGGCCCAGAATTTCAACAATTAAAATTTATTTTGCTTCTTCTTTCTTTTCTCGAAGAAAAATGCTCCTTTCCAGAAATGGAAACCTCACCAACTCAAGTGTTCTTCCTGGTCCCTTGAAATTCGACTAGAAGAGGCTCGACTGTATATGTTCACCTGAAGTGTTGAACTCTTTAAATTAAATACCTACTCACTACAGCGTAAAACACATATTTTCTCAAAAATTAGCGCGAAAAACCCGAGAGCTCGAAAATTTTGATCAATGACGTTTGTGATTGGCAGGTGAATTACATGATTGCATCTGATCTACAGAATCTTTCGGATGAAAAGTTTTGAAATAAATTAAATCCATTTTCCATCCAAGAGCATTACTCATATACACTTATTACTGTGAAATATACTTATAAAGGGCGCACGATTCAGAATTCCGATGTAATTCAGGAGATTCACACGTGACAAACACAGAGGAATAATTTTAAATGTGCGAGGCTCGTCGTATATTTAGAGTGGATATGGATTTCAAGTGAAGAATTGCGCTGCTCGCCGAACTTCAAATAAAATCGCTTCTGCCTAAAAAACTCGATATAAATAAACTATTTTTCAGAAAAAAGAACCTGCGGATCCGGCGGCCGTCCGCCACAAAGCCCGCCGTGATACACGCCTCCACACGCCGAGCTAACGACGGAACACGCAGTGGCGGCGGCGGGATACGGCGGCGGTGGCGGGACAACAACCGGCGTCACACGTCGCAGTTCCGCATAGCCATTCGGAAGCCCGTGATGCAAATGTCCGCCACGAAGCAAACAAGCATGCCCCGAACTCGCCGGCTCGTAACAAGAGGACATTGCTCCACAAGTGGTGGCGTACATCGCTGGAACAGGCGGCTCCGGTGGCGGCAGATCGTCCGTGTTGAACGAGGAACAGGAGGCGACACCTACATTAAAAATAATCATCACGAAGAAATTAAGTGAATTGTCCGAAAGATCAGATAGGTGTCGCTCGAATCACTCATGAATCGGAAGAACACACGGGAAACTTGCTGTCTACAATTATTTGGATGATCAACCTAGAATCAGAAGTAATCCCCCAATTTAATTTTGAAAAAACCATGAAACGTTGTCGCTTGAGCACAATTCAAGCGACAATAACGTAACAAGACGGGAAATCAATTAAGGGACGTCACGCGTTGAAAAAATAAAACTTCGGGACTAATTTTGAATTGCTTTACAAAACTTAGTTCGGAAATGTCATTCCCATGCTTCTTTCGTTAGAATCTCCTACAAGGGATGAAAATAACCGTACCTTTTTTTTAGAGAAATACTGTACTGCATTCAGATATTTTCAGGAAACTGTTTCAAGTTTGGCAAATCCAGTTTGAATATGTTAGAAGTGCATCATCACATCCCAGAATTAATAGAAAAATACGGGTTTTGCGAAAATCCGCAAGTTTTACATTGACTGGAAAAACACAGCGTGATTTTGAAAATTTTGTAATCGGTATTTCCGCATGCGAAGATTGTCCAGAATTTTAAACTCACATTAAAATCAGCTTTGAAATAGAATTACTGTATCAGCAAAGAAACAAAGACCAGCTTCAATTCATGTCATTAATTCCAGCTGGAACCAATGACAAATTCTTGAAATTTCAAATGAACCTGATTTCAAACTATTCCAAGTATAGTGAGTCGCATAATGAAAGATACACACACAAATAAAAATCCTCCTTGCGAAAATTCCACGGAGGAAAAACGTGACTGTCATAACGAATAGTTCTACTTGAAGAAATTTGTTGGCTCTTCATCTAAAATAAAATTAGTGAAATTCAGAAAATTGATAAAATAATTTTGTCACGAACTCAGGATCACAAAAATTCAAACTGATCAATTTCAAATTCGCGAATTTATTCTGAAATCGAAGGATATTATGCAGTAATTAAGTTTTAATACATAACCGGCTTTTGGTGAGTTTCTTGAACGAATTATTCAATTCACGATTCGCATTTAGCACCACGAAAATTCCACAAAACGAAACGCATCCAGGAACGGATTATTTTCGTCATTTAACGACAGAACATTTGAACAATCCCTCGCAAAATCAAAAGGCTTCAATCCATGAAACAACAATTGGAACAACTTCTGAGTATCAGGAGTAAAAAAAAAATATGTTTCTCTCGCTCACTCGCAGCGCTGTTGAGGTTCTCGTAGTCCGCATAATTGGAGTAATTGCTATACGTGGAACTCGCCCCGCAGCTCGCCAAGTTGCTATAATCCGTGTAATTGCTAGACAGGTCGACGTAAGTCGGCGGCGGCGGCGGAGGCGGCTGCTGTCGCCCATAGCCGTCCATCCGCACGGGCTCAGCCTTGTGCAAACTCCCGGGATCCGGCGGCAGGGACGCCGGTGTGCCGTTACTCGCCGTGCTGCGAGAAACCGCTATACCGAACCGACCGCCGTTGCTGCAATTGGCCACAACGACTTTCGAACTGGCAGCCAAAAGCTGAGTGGGTGGTGCGGCGGGTTTGCCTTGAGGCGGCAGCGGGGGCGGCGGCGGGGTGGCGGCTGTTTCCGTGACGCAAACGTACTCCCTGCCACACCCGACCTTCTACACGCCAAGCACCATTCGGCCTCCCAGAAACGCCCCGCGGTGAACGCCGCCTCGCAGTGTAAGGAGGATTAAGTCGTGTGTGTGTTTTATAATCCATGTCGTGAGGAAAATAGTTCACAGCAGCATAATTTTTTAGACAAATATTTCAAATCAAAATGAATTTTACAGACAAATACATGCAGTTCACAGCAAAAATAATTTCAACAAATTTAGACAAATATCTCACATCAAAATAATTTTTTAGACAAATATTTCAAATCGAAATTAATTTTTCAGACAAATACACTTAGTTCACAGCAAAAATCATTTTTCCGACAAATAGTTCACAGCAAAAATAATTTTTCGGACAAATACTGTAGTTCACTTCAAAATACATTTTTCAGACAAATACAGGAAAATCTCATTACAACAAAGACATTGGAACCAGTAAAATAGCTTCTTTGTAAGGAAAAATTCGTTATAAAGGAACTCTTAACGTTGTGGCTATTGGACAGGGACCTAAAAATATTGAATGAGTACTAAAGTACTGTACCACAAGGACCTTTTGGAAATTGAGTGGAAAAAAGAGGGTGTGCATCTCAGGCAGGGATAACATCTTATCTGATTTTCAAAGTTGTAGTACAAATCATGATCAATTCCAAAAGGAAATTTCATATCCATTTTCAATGGGCAATTTGAAAAAGTGAGGGTAAATGAACATCAAATTCAAACACAATTCGAGTCAACCTTCAAATGCTGATGTATTTTATTCTAAAAATATTGAATTTTTCAGTCTCAATAGGGTGCATTCTTTACTTGAGGATACATTCTTGAACAAATCTTATGCTGAAAAACTCAGATGTACGCTTTATTTAAATGTTAATGTTTCTCCAGTAAATACAAAACTTGAAGGATTCTTCAACAACTTGGATAGCAACAAGTCGCAAAGTTCAAACTCGCACATTTTTCTTCACTTTTCTTTTTTGCATCTATTTTTTTTCATTCATTCTTCGCAGATTGTTCCTTGTCTGGAGGGAGTTTGATTGTGTGCTAATTCCTCATAAGGACAATCATGGAGCCCTTCTGTTTCAATTCACATGAAAGTGGTGTCATGGTTTCACTTTCAAAATCTGTATCCTTAATTTTAGAAATCCAAGGGCTCATACCTACATATTTGGAATGCCATTCAGCGGATATAAAATACCACCTAAACAAATACTCTAGCAAAGTTAGTCAAACAATGAATATCCATGAGAATAACTGATGAAGTGATGTTGGTATTTTATATACATATTTGGAATGCCATTCAGCAGATATAAAATACCTCCTAAGCAAATACTCTAGCAAAGTTAGTCAAATGATGAATATCCCTGAGAGTAACTGATGAAGTGATGTTAATATTTTATATACATATTTGGAATGTCATTCAGTGGATATAAAATACCTCCTAGCGTTTATGGCATAAATGAGGTCATGGTACGCGTGGAAAAAAAGAGTTTAAAGTCTTCTTTTTTTCCCCACGTGCAGTATTCACCCATGTTTAAAAAGTTCTTCAAGATCCTTCAATACACACGTAAATACTTAATTATAATGGAGAAATTTCAAACAGATGTAACAAGAAAACTTTTTTGTACTGAAAAAGTTGAAAATTGATCCTATTTTTGTTCAATTCATGTCTGAAGTCAAATTTTTTGAATTTATTTTCGAAATTTTGTGGTTTCAGATTCACTAAAAATTATGGTGTGCGTCTTACTTTGGTATACAATTTTAGCCAAATTTCCAACTGAAAAACCCCTGTGCGCACTTTACTTGAGGGAGCGTGGTACTCAAGTAAATACAGTAATCTAGCAAAGTTAGTCAAATGATGAATATCCCTGAGAATAACTGATGAAGTGATGTTGGCATTTTATATCCTTTGAATAGCATTCAAAATAGGTATGAGCCACTGGATTCCTAAAATTAAAAAGGATACGGATTCTGTATCCTGTGAATATCCTTGACATCACTTAAGGAGCAATCAGCAAAAAATTCATGGAAAAAATTAAATATAAAAGAAAGTAAAAAAAAAATCTGTGCGAGTTGTCGCTATCCCAGTTGATGGTTTTTGCTGCGCAAGTTGTTCAGCAACCAGCAATAGGGGTTAAATTTGCTCACTTGGCAACCCGCCGGCTTCCTTGGCTTCGGTGGTACCACGGGCGCCACTTTCCGCGCATCACTGGCGTAGTCTCCAGCTGCATGCGTCAGCCGCATGCGCGACAAATCCTCAACCAACGAAAGCGGCAAACGCGATCCATTCATCACACCCTTTAAATCGCGACGCAAAAAAAAAAATTAAAATAAATAAAAACGCCTTTCACCGCATGCTGCGGAAAAAAAAGAATAAACAATTTAGCAACGCATGAAATCAAATGCGACCATCAAGAAAACGGATCAAGCAGCAACGAGCAGTGCAATTTTTTTTTTTACTTTTTTCAAGATTCCCGTCCAGAATTCAACTGGCAGAGGCTCAAAAAAATATACATTGCCGCAGAAAAAAAAAATTGGCGTCCCTTTTCTTTGGAAATGTTCTCGCGAATGTAGCATCAGAACATTCATATTCATCCACTCTCAAGAAACCCTTCACATGTTTTCAACAGTGAACAGACGCCAACTTCCCCAAGATGCAACATCGTGAAGGAAAAACTTGTTCCGAACTCGAATAATATCCTTGAACACCACGGTAATACACCACTTCCTCGGTTTTACAAAAAAAAATAAAATAAACTGAGGTCCACACAGAATAAAACCAAAATCAAAATGGAACCGAGATTTTTCTGAAATATATGTATACTGTATACGCCTCTCACTAGCTGAAATTTCAATCCGAGCAAGCATTGATCACAAAGCTGACTCCAGCAAAGCTCCAAAAAAACGCAAAAACTTGAAACGACTGCCCTCAAACATCACGATATACCAGCTGGGAAAGTACATTAATAATTTCGCATTTTTAGCGAAAAAAAAGCAGCAAATCGCACGAAATCACTGGGTTCAAAAAAAAAATGTATCCCAGTATTTTTTTTTAATCCATCACTCGTTTTGCGGAGCGCTCTGTGATAAAACAAACTGGCTTTTTTATTTTCAGAAATCACGGAAATAACCTCTTTCCATTCCGCAAAATTCTTCCAGGACTGAGTTTAGCCAATACCGGTTTGGTCACGGAAATGAATCCTATTGCTCTGTGATAAAACAAAATTGCTCCTTACCGGGAAGGACGATTAGTCCCCAGAAAAATCTCACGGTTGACTTTTAAAAAACCTAATTTTCCGCATAAAATTCCTCCCAGTTCGTATTTAGCCAATACTCGCTTCGTCAACCCAAAAAAACCCCCCTAGAGTATCAATCGAAGAGCCAGTTGACTGGAGTAAGTGGGTAACTTCCTGAGCGTCAACTAACTTATTCAAAAAAAACGAAAAAAAAACCGTTTCACCAGTCAAAAACGCCGAAATTTTTTCTCAGCGTTAGAGGCACAGTTTCACATTTCAGGCGGTAAAACATGAAAAGGAAAGGGAATGTGTAAATGAACGGCGGGTAAAAAGGTTCACTCCAGTCCAAGTGCCCAGTTGATTGCGTGGACTAGAGTCAAGATCAGCGGCTGCCAGGCGACCAGCCAACGAACCCAGTCTAGAAGTTGCCCGAAAAACATGTGCGGCTTCTCCCAACTATATACAAAATAGTGAGAAAAAAAATTATATCCCGATCAATGATTGAATTTTTAATTCTCAAAAAGAAGGACTTGTAAATACCACTTTACACGATGTCACAGAAAGCTTGGGACACTTCACCTAATCTTATATTCATCGGTCCAAAAAAAAAAAACACGGAATATCTCCATACTTTTTCAGGATTGCATTAGGAAAGTCGTAAAATTCGTGCATTACTGTATCCTACGTTAATTAAGCCTACACATCTTCATGAATTCAGCACTTCAAAGAAAGAAGTCTCAAGATGCCGTTTACGAATTTGAAACGCACATTCATCTTTCTCGCTTCCAAATATAAATACTGTACATTTTTTGCAGCATAAATACTGTACCAATTTTTTTTTCCAATTCAGAAACTCCGGTAACTCCCAATTACTTTTTTTTTGTGGGACCCTCCAAGTGAGTTAGACTTGAAGAGGTTTGGCTGTAGTTCTTCAGGTTACTCAATAACTGAATTCACTCAACAAAAACAGAGAATAAAGATGTACGAAAAAAAAGAGGAAAAACGACTTTTCAATGGGGATTAAGTAAATTCCACTTAAAACGATGTCACAGATAGCTCCAATACGAAAGTTGAACTCAACTTGAATTCCTAAGGCCAAAAAAATAATAATCATGAAATATCTACGTAACTTTCCAAGGTCGCATTCGAAAAATGTAAAAGTCGTGCATTACGGTATTACAAGTTGATTAGGTCTAGCACATTTTCATTACTGTATTACGCACTTCCAAGAATTAAGTTGATAAATTTGAAACGCTTTTTAATGTTCCGGGAATGCAAATACAGTATAAGAAAAAAATTTAATGAATGATGCATAAGTATGAGAATAAAGATCGACTACAGCTCGGGGGGAAAAAAAGAAGAAAAGACGCATTAAAATTCCTTACAAATTGCAAAACATCCTCTTGAGATCCACCTTCTCTTTGCAATACGGGCAAATTTGCTTCTTGCCCACTATACACCACCCGCGAATACAGAACTCATGGAATCTGCAAGGATATCAAAAGGAATATACAGTATATGCCGAAATTGAGTCGTGGGTAACCCGCGAAAGAAACTTACTCATGATTGCAAGATAAACGATATGTCCTCTCCAATGCAGCGTCTTCATTCACGCCTACAAGCAGCCTGTTCCCACATATCGCACACATGCTAGGGTCTAATGATCTGTTCGCTATACCCTTCGGCACGTAATACTGAAAAGAAAAAAATTCAAGTGCCCAAGCATTTTATTAATATTTATGTCTCAACTAAAAAATTATAACAAATATTGTAGCCTTTTGGCACGAAATACTAAAAATAAATTGAAAATTGAATTTAAAATTCAAGTCCCCAAGCATTTAATCAATATTCTTGTCTCGACTAAAAAATTATACCAAATACTGTAGCCTTTTGGCACGGAATACTAAAAATAAATTGAAAATTGAATTTAAAATTCAAGTCGTTGAGCATTTAATTAATATTCGTATCTCAACTAAAAAAAAGTATGCCAAATACTGTAGCCTTTTGGCACGGAATACCGAAAAGAAGATGAAAATTGAATTTAAAATTCAAGTCCCCAAGCATTTAATTACTATTCTTGTCTCAACTAAAAAATTATACCAAATACTGTGGCCTTTTGGCACGTAATAATGAAAAGAAATGGAAAATTGAATTTAAAATTCAAGTCCCCAAATATTCAATTAATATTCTTTTCCCAACTAAAAAATACAGAAAAAAACTGCGAAGAAAAAATCCCCACAGAATCTACCTTCTATAGGCATGATAAAAAAAGAAGCCCAAAAAGAAAACCCCCGATTAGTACAAATTAATTTTTTTTCTCACACAGCGGTCTGCCACTGATTTTTCAACTTGAATTCCTCAGGCCAAAAATAATGATCATGAAATATCTACGTAACTTTCCAAGATCGCATTCGAAAAATGTTCAAGTCGTGCATTACGGTATTTCAATTTGATTAGGTCTAGACATTTTCATGTATTACGCACTTCCAAGAATTAAGTTGATAAATTTGAAACGCTTTTTCATGTTCCGGGAATGCAAACATAAGACAGAATTCGATAAATGATACAAAAGTATGAGAATAAAGATCGACTACAGCTCGGGGAGAAAATCACGAGGAAAAAAAATAAAGAAAAAACGCATTAAAATTCCCTTACAAATTGCAAAACATCCTCTTGAGATCCACTGGATCTCAAGGATTGTGTTCAGCAATGATAATTTTGACTTCAAAAATTTGTAAGAAGTCCCCGAATAAGTTGAATGAATTTTTTGTTCTTGACTTTTTATACGGAAAATAACTGTGCAGAAGTAAACTAAAAAGTTATCTGCTTTCCAAAAGTGAGAATGAGCCTGAAAAGCAAAGAAGAAGTACACGTTTTGCTATATTGAATTACAGATGATAGAACAACCCTAAAAAGAGAAGCACAAAATTATTCTATTTTAGATTATGAATTGGGAGCGAACTTTCAAAAATATTCATTTTAATTTTTGCGAATATAAATACTGTGGCTCCATTTGTTCAAGTGATGATATTTTTTAAAATTGAAATTTTAAATTTCTGTAGAAATTTTGGCAGTGTCCACATCTTCAGACATTGTCTTGATTTTGAGGGACGAGTTCAAGTCTGAAGTCATGCCTCTTCCAGTCCACTTCAAGTGAAGTGAGAAGTTTCAAGTGTCCTTAAGTCGAATCGTCCGTATATCGGGTCCCCCCTCAGTATTTCGATACTTCATGATAATTTCGCCCTAATTCATCTTTCATTTCGTAATTTTTCTAAAAGTAAGACCCTCACCCCGACGTGTGCTGCCATTTTATCAGAGCAAATTTCGGCAATATCTCAGCGGTTCTGTGGCATCATGTTAGGCATCTTTGGCTCTTCGTCCCGTTTCAGGTAGGTGCTGACGCCGAACCGAGGTTTGCGGTTCAAGTCAGGCTTTTAGCATGTGTACGGTTACTGCATCGGGTAGACGCCAATGGCACACGTCACTTTATGAATCGCCAAAAACCACTTGTAGACCATCCTGCGAAAAAAAAAATTATTTTACGATGCAATGCGCACGAAAATTTAGCTAAAATTATTATTCAGCGCTCAAAATCAGGAGTGAAATCTTCGTCATCTTCAGGAAACTCATTTTTCTAACAATTTTAATGCATGACACTGGGATTTTTTCCCCGAGGACGTCCTGAAATACGGTTCCTTTCTTCTCTTCCGGGCACAAAACCCACCCTTGGTATCGTTGATGTCATAATCGCTCTTCCGATTTCACTTCGTCACTTTCTTTCGGCTTAAATCTGATGATCATACTCTCGTAGTTATCCTGGACATGAACGTTTTGAAGATGAATCTCTCGGAAACTGGGCTTCATTTACTCAGTTGAACCTTGATAACTCAAACATTCGTGCGTCGAACCTTTCCTAAAGTTGCTCAATAACTGAACCCACTGTACTGAAGCACTTCAGTTTCGCATGACTTATACCAAATTGCTTTTGTTTTCCTGAGCATTAGATTTTATAATTTGGGAGGATGATCAGACTTTCCCCCGGAAAAAAATGATAATTGTTCCAACTCGAAAACTATCGAGTCAATATTTTTCGCGGGTTTCCTGGGAGTTCAACTGTATTTCACCTGGGAGTAGTACCAGACAGCGGTTTCTGCATCGCTTTCCGCATGACCAATCCGGTCAGAATGGAGAACACGACCCAAATTGCGATGAATCGCCACCAGAGGTTCTTCACAGACAGCACTAACGGTATTAGCCACATACCCAACAACGTCACGGCCTGAAATAAAAATTGCAAACAAAAATGAAGAAAGAAAAAAAAAGAACTGCTGAAATCTATCAACACGAAGTGGGTGGTGTTTCGTTCACTCTTCTCACCTGATAAGACCGATAATGTCGTTGTCTCCACTGGATGAGCCCGACTTGACAAACAATCAGCGTCATGAACAATACCAGCACCATGCTGGCATGCATGGCTTCATGGCCCTTGTGAACATCATGCATTTTCACATGATCGTACCTGGCGGAAAAACGCGGAGGGAATAAATTTTTCATCACTTCGTGCGTAAACGTATATAGTATATATATATTTTTTTTTTTAAATAAATTTTTCGCGAGCAAACCACGACTTCCACAAGCAACAGAAACTTTCAACTTCGAAGAACTCTCGACGAGATCGACGTCTTTTGCAAAATGATCATGAAAATCTCACACATCAGGGAAACAATATTTTTGTAGTTCGACGTATTTTGAGATATCTTTTTAATCATTTTTTTTGGAGGCAAAAGTCACCCTGACCGCTTTCTGCTCTTCACTCAAAAGATGAGGCGCTCATCTCGAAGATTATTTTTTCGTGCAGCCCAGCTTCACATTCAGAATTCTTGAAATCGACTTGGTATTACAGTAGTTCCAAGGTAGTTTCCTACAGGTCTTCCAAGGTAATTCCGTCATTTTCATCCCTAGCCACCACATTCCAGTCCCGAGTGGCGGCTACTAATGAAAGTGGCGGAATTAAAATTCAATTACGTGGCGGCAACCCCCTGGAATAAATGCTATGTGAATTTGAAGAATGCTGTAATGAAACACAACAGGTCATCATCATCACAAAAAAAATTTATCAGGAGGGAAGCCAACAAAAAGAACCAACTCTTGAAAAAAAAATCAGTAACACAGATGATTTACACGCAGTAACCCTCAAATAAACCAACACGCCAAGACGTTCAAAAATTCCAAAGATTTGTGTGCTTCTCTCGTCGATAAAAAATTATCAACAAAACAACGCCGTAATCACGAATATAGGTACCCAAAATTCACCTCACCTCCATTTGTCTTCAGGGCTCAGCTTCTCGATCTCATCCGCCGTCAACTCCGTATAATTCTTCCCATTAAACAGAGGATCCACGTGGAGGATCTTGGCATGAATGTGACCCTTGTGCGGGTCCGCAAAATTTGCCTGCACACATTTCGCTGCCGCCCCGAGCACAACACCAGCTATCACTTTCGCGTACATCACTCCATTCACGAATTGAAAAACAGCCCCTCGGGAAATTATTTCACCCACGAGCCGTGAGTTGAAAGCCACGAGGGGAGGAAATAAAAAAGAAAATAACGAGGAGCGGGACCTGGAAAAAATTCTGACCCGAATTTCAATGAGAAAACATTAAAACGGGGGGTTTCAGTGAGCGGTATTTCAACAGATAATTCACCTCACAAACGGTTTTCTTCCTTCGTAAAATAGACTCGTTTCCCTTTTCCAAACAAAGCACAAGAGCAGCCACCAAAAAAAAAAAAAAAACCGCGTCTGATCAAAACCAGAGCCAAAATAATCGAGTGCACTGTTGTTCACTTTTTTTGGTAACATAGATTTCCTTTCCTTCGCAACGCACGTGTTCAGCCTCGGTCGTTTTCCTCCTTTTTTTCACTATATGTTTCTTCAGAAAGCAAGCAACACTTCGAGCAACGATGAGCAAATGTTTTGAAAGCACTTTTTTTTCTCTAAGAGAACAATAATTTCACGCTGTGCATCGAAGTGTTTCAATTACCGTACATCCATTCCTTTTTTTTTCAGCAGAGCTGCATCGTCAGAGATTTCAGATTTCTCTGTATTTCAAGAAATACTCGTGAAAGATCAAGGATTTGTCCCCACCCCCTTTCAAAAGTCAATAAGGTGCAGCCAAAAAAAAAAATACTTTCTCATTGTTCCGAGGTTTCCGGGAATGTAAAACAGCATGCCTCATTTCTTTTTTTCTCAGAGGATGCAAGGAAGATCGAAAACCTTTCCTTTGACGAGAGTCTCCAGCCCCTCGCCATCGTAGGATGTCAAAGGAGAGATTTCCACGACAAGATTTTGTTCAGAGTCCTTGAATGAGCCTCCAGCTTTCTCAATCAGAGATTTATCGAAAGCGTACAGCATTTCTCGAGCAGTCGTCGGAGTGTCTTTGGATGCCCCGTCCGCATTCTTCACCGGGCTAAATTCATCTTCGCGTTTCACCTAAACGGAATAAATTAACAAACAATTTCACGGCATTCAGTTTTTGGCTGACACA